GGAGGACTAACAAGAGGTCATGGATCAACAGAATCGTTTCGATTACAGTGGGTTTATAGCATGCAGAAATGTTCATGATGCCGTGACTACATTCACGGAACACAAGTTATCATCTAGTGAGCAAAACAAACTAAACTTGATACATCAAAGAGTAGTCACGACATATATGATTTAATCAAATTACAAGAGTGGTTTGATGAGCATAATCCATTTAATCTACATGATGATAAATTACGCTTCCTTTCCCCAGGCCTATCAGCTTGCAAAGGTGATGGAGTAAATTGTGAGGAAACAGCAATGGTTGGATCAAAACTACACAGGCTAATAAATAATGTTAGTATTGCAAAAGTAGCAATAAAAAGAATTGAACATGTGAAAACTGGATACTCTAATGCCAGAAATAAGAGTAGAGACAGAAAAAGTGATCATCAATCCTTAAATTTTTTTCACAAGTCTTATCAAAATAGTCCAAAGAGAAGATGACACGAGAAGATATTAAGACTACGAACTCACCAATTTGCCAATGTCACTCTTTAAAGACATGGCACGCGCAAAAAACACAAAGCTCAGTTATTAAATGCTATTACTAAGTTTATTCCAGCCCAGCAACAGGATGGTGTTATTCAACCAAAACATGTCATAGATGGGGGAGCATTTATTTTTAGAGTCACGTGGATAAGAAAAACTAGTAACAATGATGTACTTATACAACAATACTGAACATGTTCGTTGCAAGTTTGGAGAAAATTGCTGTATTGCTTTTGATGCATATGAAGGACCATCTATTAAGAATAATAAAAAGTTGTGCTAACATTTAATTAAAAGAATTTTTAGAAGCTCATTATAATCAGGAGATTTTCCTGTCCAATGAATATAACAAAATTCTGTTTGTTAAACTACTAGAGGTATATTGAAAGAGAGTGGCCATGAGGGACATGTAAGTGAAAACGCTGCTGATGCACTAATAATTTCATGTGCCCTAGAGTTCTCACTACATGAAAACGTCATTGTCCACTTAGATATAACTGATGTCCTAGTACTTCTAACTTATCATTGGAAAAAATCAATAAGAGAGAATGTCTACTTTTATTCTGAGACAAGAAAAGGACACCCTTTATTGGAAAATTAGTGATATAGTTACTGCAAATGCAAAGCTCATTTAAACAAACATATTATTTATGCATGCTTGCAGTGAATGTGATACGTGTGCAACATTTGGTCATGGAAAAACAATGCTTTTACAAAAAATAACCCAAAATGAGAAGATAAGAAATATATCTTCAACAATGTGCAATGAAAATGCAAAGCAGGAAAGAAATAGGACAAGCAGGCATTAAGTTTTTCTCAATACTGTATAGTGGAATAAAAGAATTTTCCAAATGATTTGCGATATTCTAAATTTATGGAAATGATAGCATCAACCAAAAATATACTTCATCTACAAAAAATTTCCTCCAACGGACAGAGCTGCTTATTTTCATAGTGTTCGTGTCCACTTACAAGTTATTACTTGGCAAAAACTCGATGGCAATGCACTCATGCTGATGCATGAGGATAGACACTAACAGGAAGAATATATTCTCCTTTATTAACTGACGAATTGGTTGCCCCTCAGAGTTTGTTAAAATTTATTCAATGTAATTGTAAAATATCATCAAGAAATCCTTGTGGAAACAACACAAGCTCATGTTGTAAGAATGCCCTTAAATATGTGGCCGCATGTGGAGATTGCCAAGGAAAAGGGTGTGAGAATGCAGAAATGTCATTAGCTTAGGTGATGAACAAGACAATGCATAATGACTTATTACATGCATTAAAACAAGTGTAACAGTGTAAAAAATATTCCTATATTTGATTTCACCACTTTGCAAGAATAACTGGATTTTATTAAGACTTATAGAGGCTCTCTCTACCTTCTAATTTTTCTAGAGAAGTCTTTAGGCAGTACATGTATGTCTATGTTGTCTTGCTGTTAGCAAGCTCTTCACTTTGTCCCATGTTGAAGCCGCCATTTTGTTTGCCGTGACCACACCCACTACGTAAAGGAATGTGGGCAGGTGGTTGCTAAGGCTTTTGATTTTATTTCTCCAATACAACATCTATATAAGAAATGTAAGTATTGACATACAAATATAAAAACATCACACTTGGGTGCAATAAATTATAGAAACGACCTGGGGGCTACGCCCCCAGGTCATTATTAATTTGTCCAAATTGCAATATAAATGTGCTTAATTGCTAAAATATAGATATTTTAATAAATTTCACACCATAATACTAGCACCTTTAATACTATCTTTTTTGATACTTCCCTTAGGGGAATTTGGGATATATTGTTAAACAAAAAACTTAACACATTGAATTAGAAAAAATTTGTACCAATTTTTACATTATACAACCAAACTACCAAACTAAAAACTAATAACATTTATTACAATAAGTAGGACATTTATTAAATAAAAAATGTTTAACTTACCCCTTCTTGAACGACATGATGCAAACTGACAAGTCAATGAATACACAACACAATAAACAGCTGTGACATTCAGCACTATCAGGTAAACGAAATTTTATGCAGAGATAAAGAGCAGTGGTATTAATAATTGGCAGAGATAATAATCAGCTGAAATGTACGTACCAGATCTATTTGATCTTCATGCAAGCAGCTGTTAGTAGACGATGCATGCCACGAAACGACCCCCTGGGCCAATTAGCTTAACAGAAGAACAGTTCTTTGACTTGATGACTTCCTTCACTTCAGTGTTCATGCCCTATACATGTCTGAGCATGCGCACTTGTTCATATCATGCCCCTGATGCTTTGCGGTCTTATCGTCACGTGATAAAGAAGATAACTGGGCTGTGGCGCTGGTAGGGCTGTTTTGGGTTATCTTATCTAATCTTGGTGTCAGCAGACTGTCAGTGAAAAGGAACACAGCTGGACTGCTTCCCTCAGGCCTCACCTGCTCAATGTAATATCTTTATCTTCTCCAGACCTTCCCTTAATACTTCTGTGCTCCTTACATATCAGTTGTGATGGCTTCATCTGATGAAGATAGCCATAGTGAGAAGGAAGCCGACCTTTCATTTTCGGAAAGTCCGAGGAAGAAAAGAATGAGGGCGGCGACTAAAGCTCCTTCACAAACAAAATGGCAGGATATACAAGAACTTGGGATTGTGCCCCAAGGCTATGAAATGGCACAATTTATAGAGAATCTAATGGTGGCAAGGAAGCGTCTTCCTCTAACAGAATTGTGTGGATCGCCAGAACTCGCTCATTTCGAACATTGCCATTTGGTCCTTGTAAAGAAATTATGCATTGATAATGAGGGGTTTCCATCAGCGAAGTATGCATTATTATTTTCACATCTCACTAACCACCTGGGTGACGATTATAATGCGAAAGTTTATCCTGTTATAAAAAAGGAGCAGGATCGAAGAAGAAACAAAATGTCAGATTGCACTATCATGAAATTGAAGAGACGAACCGCATTGGTGTGTGAATTGAAATTTGAATTAAGTGAGAAAATTTTAGTTTTAGAAGATGAGTTTTCACAGCTCTTGCAGGAAGTTTGATATGCATATGAAACAGAATCAAAAAGTTCGGTACATCATTACAATATATACTAGCTATCCTTGGATGGCACGTTTTGTTATTACAGTGTTCTTGCAAGCCTTACATTATTGTGGATTTGTACATGATACGTATTGAAGATGTTGAACTTAGTGCCTTGTGTCATTTCCTACAACAATGCAAAAAAACTTTATCGTAGCATTATTATGGACTTCAAGTAACACTCCACATTTGAACACAATAATGATTATTATTCAATTGTAATGATATTGATATGAGATAATGATTGTCTAAAAATGATGACATTAGTGTAAATCCTAACCTCAAGAGAGTGGTGTTACATGTATATGTAACATGTTGGTTTTGAAATGGCTTGGGCTCGTCTTTACAAGCCAATACAGACAGAAAGGACCAATAATAGTAATCTTTACTTTTCGGAAATATACGGAGCTGGTTAATATGCATGTGTATAGATCTAATAAGTAATATTCTAGTAGATAGTCTGGCAAGTGTGCCATTCCTCAGTGTCCTAGATGTCTTCAGTGTCTTACACAGCTTAATAGCATCTAGTGCTCATGTGGGGTACTGCTTTGAACACAGATGTGTACACTTGGTGGCCAACATCGAGTCACTTTGAGTGCAATGAGCATGTGCACACCAGGAAATGCACTACAGTTTTCATTGAAGTTCATCGTCTGTTCACACCCAGTTTCCAATTCGTACACCACTTGCTCACATTCATGTGCAACTTGAACACATAGTGTACACTATTAAGTTAATACCAATTAATTTCAATTTAATTCATTAAAAGACAAAAAAATTATCATACAATAGTTCAACTGGTTAAATACTTCAACTGGCTAAATAGTTCAACTGGTTACATAGTTCAACTGGTTACATAGTTCAACTGGTTCATCAGCATGTTATCCTATTAGCCTAAAATGAAACAGAAACAAAAAATATTAATAATTATACACTAAGTTTATTCAACTGTCCATTTTGGAGCATTTTAAGGAGGATGACATAATGATGGTTCACCCATAACTCTCTTTTTACATGCCATTAAAGTTCCTTCCTTTTTCTCTTTATCTTCATAACGTTTGTCAAGAAGATGCAAAAATTCAGATAGTTCTGAAAATAATAAAAAGATGAAAATGGCGTGATGTTAACTTACTGTTAGAGCGCCAAAGCATTTCATGTATAGCTAAGGTAACATCCTCACGATTTGATTCTTCAGACATAAAATCAACAGATAGCTGTTTCCAGTGTTTCATTTCATTCTCTCTAACCATTAGTGCTCTGTTGTCAAATTTCTGATGATTAAATACATTATCTAATGTGATGATAACCAAAATTACCCTTCGTCGCCTCTGTCTGTACTTCTCTTCTTCAGATGTAATTATACTCAACTCTTCATAATTTCCTTTTTCTTTTTATATGTTCTCCGCAAACTTTCATATTTGCGCTTGACAGCAACTATGAATGATAATATAAAAATGACATTAATATTCTACAATGTATCACCTGCAACATCAGCTTCCTTATACTTTTCACTATGAGCTAAACTAACCTCACGAACAAGACAATCTCTTATCTGTACATTGTGCTCAGATTTAATACTATAAATACCAAAATTGCCGCATATATCATGATGATATGTACCTCTCTTCTGTTTTGAAATCTTCATCAAGCTTATCATGAATTGCTGCCACTTTTGCTACAAAAAAAGTAATAATAATGCATAAACATGCTCACTAACGGTAAGGTCTCTTGTAACCCGTATCTTTTTTCGCTCACTAGATGAACTTGAAGGACTAGATTCAAGTGACAATCCTTTGACTTTATCTTCTAGCACATCAAGTCGTTTCTCAATCTGAGAATTAGCAAAAACCATATCTTTGCTTAAGGTACTTTTGAATGAAATTTTAAATTTTTTTAATTGCTGCCATTTTATAGTAGAGAAAAAGTTGTACAACTAGTGCTATTTTTAAATTATTAGCATGCACTGTTTAGAAGTTATAGATCATTGAACTTTGAATATTAAAGAAAATTCCTGCATAACTTTTCATACTTTATACGCCATCTTTGATCTTGTGTCATTTCTGGATACCTCCGTATTTTATAAAACTGGCGGGAAAAATTAATTGCAAGGTGGAGTTAAGTTATGATGTCATATCAGTCAAACCATTAATAAAAATGGCCACTAGTATGTATTTCCTAACTATTGTTTATTTAGCAGTTTCATCTGGTGAATGCAGGCTCTACGAAGCTCTAAAGCTTGCAATCGTGGCATAATGAAGGCAAACACTCAATCAAGTTTGTATGCAGTAAATGCTTTTGTGATACACTGATGTTTGAAAGTGAACAAAACTCTATGAGAGATTGCAGCCCATTTTGCAAAACTTAAAGAACTTTTGCCAAGTGATGGAACATACGTCAATAGAAAATAATATTATAAAAACAATCATATTACTAAAAATTAAAGTACTCTCATTATGTTCAAGAATTCTTTACTCAGTTTTCAACCATTTTAAAAAGTTAAGTAAAGTTTATTGCATCTCACAATTGAGAAAAAAATTGAAACAATTATATATTGTAGAATAAGTATGAAGGAAACAATTTGTGTTCCGAAAACTAAATTGTGTGTTCAGCCAATTGTACCTTAACTCCTCTTGCTTTGACTGTATACTCGTTAAAATACTTTGCTGCTGTTGAAGCTTAGAAATCAATACTGAAGTTGAAGTTGATGCATGCTACAAAAAGTAAGTTCATGATTATAAGTTGCGATAATACTATAGCTATAATAGAAAACATTGGGCAGTGATACAATGGCCTGTAAATCTACCCTGTACATAGTTCAGTATAATTATATACAATAAATGACTGAATTATACTTTATTATTAAGTGAGCCTTGACTCAACGTTCATCACAAACTGACAGACAAGTTTTGACTAAAATATCTTAAGATACTGTATAATATAAGTATAAAGGGTTTTGTGGTAGCAATGGTATTCCCCAACTGACCTACTGTTGTAACTATCTTTCAAACCATAACATGATAGTCGGCACTAATAAAAGGCTGAACATGGTCATCGGCCATTATGAATTAAAAAAGTTAGCCAAGGCTTTTTACAAGATAGCATCAGTGACACGATATAGCATGAATTCAATTACTGACTTCCAGGGAAATCCCCATAGATGACTCTTCCTCCTCAGTGGAGCCGGCACTACCGAAAGCGAGTGTCAGGTTGTCAAATAGTGCCTCATTAGGCTCATAGTGTTCAGTCGGCAGACGCAAAAAATCTCCCTTGCCTCAGTGGCCGTGCTATTTGGGGTTCTGGTCTACGATAGAATCTGGTCACTCAAGCTCGAGGTGTAGTGACTGTAGTACTCATCTTTCTGAAGTTTCTGGCGCCAAAAAGCTACACGTGCTGGATCATGACTCTAATTTAAAGCATAGGTCTTTTAAAAACTGAAAACGACACCTTTAATGAAATGGCAGAAAGAAAGCGATACTTGTGTTGTCACTGTGATCAATTTCTTAGTCAGAGTTCCTATTACTCTCATCGAAAATTCTATTACAATCATGAAAGTAGGCAATGGTCAAAAACTGAATGAATATGTTTGTCTGAAAA